ATGATAGTGGCCGGGCTTCATAACAGTTTGTTCTGGAAAGCAATAAATGAAAAATGCGGTGGGTATCACTACCAAGGTTTCCATTACTGTATTGGGAATCACTCCGATTTTCAAAATTAGGCCTGTTGTGCAATCCTTTGAAGGCAGACAAAGCATGCTCAAACCATCACACTCCATGTGGTTGTGCGGCAGTGGCGTGTTATACAGGTGTGAACATGTTCTGTCTTCTACGCTAACAGACGAATGGAAAACGGGTGAAAAATCGTTTCACTAACAAAAAATTGCAAAAGATGTGCCTTTTTCTAACCTGATGGTTCGATTGGAAGCACCAATATTGGTATCAGAATACTTACACCATGGTTTTGTGCCTAAGACCTGAATCCCGGCGGGTTGTTTGGTGAATCCTGGATCCCTCTTTTCCCCTCCATCACTGTTTCCATTACCGGTGGATCCTGTCTTCTTAGAATCTCTACTCGATTTTGCTTCTCTGTTTTGCTGTCTCTTCGAGATTTTCGCATTTTCTTTTGGTTCATCGGGGAATTCCACGACACCACCAAAGCGAGCTGAAAATGTTGTAGTTGTGCCGTAAGCTTGATCGTCGGTTTCCTCATTAGCGGCAGCAGCTTCTGCAGAGACTCGATCTACTTGAGTGCGCTTAAGCCACTGAGTGTACCTGATGGAAGTAAAAATGAAATACCAAGAGCAAAAGCACTAGATTTGAGCAATGTGGCCTTACTGCGCTGAGCGCGTACCATAACAAGTAATCCACCTGAAAAACGATCAGGTTGAAGTCGCTAACAACGCTTGCTTCAGCTGTGCTGTGATTAAACAACGTATTTACCTTCNTTTCCCACCGGAGTGAGAGGATGAAAAGCCAACAACTGGGAACCCTGATTCTGAACCAACCAAGAGGCGAGCGAATTACATACCTTCCTGATTGTGGCAATGGTCACCGGCTCGATTGGGCATCGGGGTGTATTGGGTACCTAGGACTTTGAAACCGTCCAAAGGGTGTATGATCTGATGGACTAAACACCGACCCCCAATGAACTGCGGACTCTGAGCTTCGTCCAGCTGTCTTGCAGGTCTGGATTTCCAGCCAAAGGCTTCGAAGTTATCCCCTTTCCTCGGTCAAGGCAACGGTAAATTGACACGTCCACTCAGTCTATGAACAAATTTTGCGCATTTTTCTTCCTATGTTGTGGTACATTTACCAATTTCATGTTATTAAGTTGTGTCGAAATACGGCTACCAACATATAGGAGCTGTGGTAGCAATCAACGGTCATGACCAAACCCATTCGCAGAATTCCGGAGCAAATATGTTTTGGGTGGAGGGAACATACTTGTCTGTCTTGTAGGATGCCGGAATCCAAACACCACTTTCCGTTTTAATACGCTTCAAATTCGCTTTGCCCTCGGCCGCTTCTGAATCCACAAAACGTTTCCGCCGTCGATCCCATACGAGTTTGCGCTTTTTGTAACCAACTGGGTGTATTCTACATCAACGGAACGGAAACCGACAGAAGAAATGAACAAAGATACTCAGATAACTACGACAATGAAAAAAGTGCATCGCTTTCTTTCAGATGTGGTTTACAAGTTAATCGGAGATCACAAAGCAAGATTCACTGTACAATACTATCGGGTCACAAAAGATGGCAGATGACATATGGACCAAATGTTCGTAAAGAGGGGTTCGATAGATACACGTTACTTTTAAACACAACTAACACAAGTGTAAAGCCGACGAAGACCACACTGTAATCTGCAATGATACTCGAACAATAATGACAACATACGTCTGACTATGTTCATCATTTAGCAGATCGAGTGAGGCGTTTGCCGCATCTACAGCGAACTGATTTCCAGGGACTCCAACTGACAAGCCGCGCTCTTGAGCTTCGTTACCTCGGAAATACGGAACAAAAAGATCGGTATTTTGTAGATCATCTTCGTCCTCGTTCACACCCGTACCGAGCGGTGCACTGGATCCTGATAGATTGGCGGTACGTTTGATGATCTCGGGCTAGAGTTGGGAAAAATGTTTCGAGATTCTTCAATACACGTTTATATTACATGTTTTGTTTGCTTCGCAGCATTCAAACACACATGCATGCAGTCGACCAAGACGAGAAATATTTGGTACTAACAATATCATTAGTTAAACAGGCGGATTGAAACCCCAAAATATGCCCAGTTCTTGAAGAACTGACTTTTAAAATATGCTTGACGTTGAATGTTGAACATGCAACCTAAAGTCTAATGCTGTGGTAAGAAAATTGACCGACCCATCAGCCCTGGTGTGCACAACCCTTTCTAGATGAACCAACTAAACAGCCTTGATGAACAATGCGAAAGAAATCCTGTTTGTCGGAGATGTTACGTGAAGCACAGATTTCCGGGTGCAACATGTTTAATCGGCTAAATTTAAAAGCAACTCCCAAAGTGCGCGGACCCTTCCGGTACCAACAACTACCGTCCCATCACTCACATTTGTAATTTCGAAGGTGTTTGAAATCATTCTCTCCTACCAGCTGCGTACGTTTCTCGAACGCGAAGGTTTGCGGAATGACCGTCAGTATGCATTTCGCCCGTCGTGAATCTACGGTGACCTGCTGGTCTTCGTATCACATTTCTGGCCTATTGCACTCGATAACCACGGAGAAACTCACATGGTCTCGCTGGACATTTCAAAGGTCTTTGCCCGCGTTTGGCATGAAGGTCTGCTGTCTAAATTATCCATCCTTCTCTAGTATCGTGGCTCTAATGTTTTCTCAGCAAGCGAACCATCTCCATCCGAGTAAATGGGCTTTATCCCGGCCATTTCCTGCGAACGCCGTTGCTCCCCAAGGTTCAATACTTCCGGCCGTCCTTTTTTTATTTATCAACGATCTTTTATGCCAAGCCTCTAGTCTTATCCACTGCTTTACCGATGACGCCACCCTCCACAGTTCTCCTTCTCATGCCACACACTATCAAGCTACTATCAACATCGATCACGATAGTAATGCCATCAAAGTTTCTCTTGCCTCCGATCTCGGACTAGTCTCCGCATAGGGTTCCATCAACCACGTATGTTTTAATGCTTCCGAAACTTCTCTCCTCACCGTCTTTCTTAAACGTGTCCCATATTCTTCTCAATTGACTTTGACTCGCTGCCCCTTCCGCAAATTCTCTCTCCCTTCTGGGTTTATCCCTAAATTCTTCTCTCTGTTGGTCCCCTTTTATTTTTACACTTGCCTCCCGCGAAACGCGTAAAGCGTCTCTTTAATCCCAGGCTCAGATCCGCCTGATGCTCGAATACTTTATTATGAGGTGGAGCTTCATATTCTACTCTTTTCCTCTTCGACCGTGTTCAACGTAAAGTCATCCGGCTGACCGACGAACCGTCCTAACATTTGAACCGGCGGTTGCTTCGTTATCCCTTTTCTATCGTTACTATTTTTGTTGTTGCTCTTCAGAACTCGCTTCAGCGGTATCCCTTCCATTGACCTTTTCCCATCTATCCCGTTCCCAGGTGGGCAGTCACCCTTATCATTTTTCTGTTCCAGATGTCGGACATCTATATTTCAATCTCCTTTTTTTCCCGAGGACTGTGGAACACTCTTCCCATTTCCGCGTTTCAAGGCTTTCATAACCTCACCCTTTCAAAAGCGGGGTTAACAAATTGATTCTTACTTGAATGTTCCCCCACATACCTCCCCTTTACAGTATATCATTGATTATGTGGTTTACCTCTTTTGCTGTAAATCACTTTGTGTAATAAAAAATATGCGAAAGAAATCTGGTTTACCCATATACGTAGCACTTACCTTGTTCGCCTCACGAACTTTCAACCTAATTTGTCGGGCGGCGTGTTCGGCGATCAAAGACTCATGGAGTTTGCGCTTCTTCATCATCATATCGAACGCCTCGGGGTTGGCATCACGACCCATAGCTTCGAATATAGTCTGACATCAAACAAAAGAACAGGTTTCAGAATGGCGCAACAACTGGGTTAACCAACTGTGATTAGGACTAAACTGCATTCGCGATATCAAATTTAATCAGCAAGTGGGTGTGCCTTAAGTGGATACGCGGAAACGAGTTTATTTTTGCAACTGTATCTTGAATGAACAGAACATGAAGCGTAAATGGTATCTAAAAGGAGTTCAGTTCATTTTTTTACAACTATTAACCATGCACTTTCGTACGCCGGTTTTGGTTGCTGTCTTTTGGTGCCTCATTGGGATAAAAGAGTAGAATGCAGATTGGAATATTGAAAGCCGATTCGAGCGGACGATGGAGAATTCATATAGAATAGTGATAGGGGAATAAGGAGTTGATGTACCAGCGCCACTGGTTGCGACACCCAGCCATATCACTCAGTGTCTCTAGCCATCCGAAAGGAGTAGTGCTTCTTAGTTGGCAGGCTGCCGTTTCCCTGAGGCACCGCCTACTTCCTCGGTTTCCACCACTTACCCAACTGTCAACCGACTTTAAGAAGCTGGTGTATGCATTAACAGCCACACCTCAATTAACCACCTGACCGGCGGCTAAACTGAGGCCTGAAACCTTGGTGGGATGGCTACTCTTGAGTGCATGGAGATCTACTCTCTACTGCAACAGTCATGAAGGAAATCTATCGAACCAGCAAGTGCATGCATCCTTGAACTCAAACCACAGTAGTCAAATGGAGAACGAGTCACCGACAACCACGCCTAATTATTTTGCACTTCTCCTCTGGTTCATTTCATGTGGTATGAACAGACTGTAAACATGATTTCCTTTATCTCATCTCTCAATGATTTGGTGTAAACAGCAGACAACAATAACTGATAGATAACCTGTATAATCTATAACCGATAAAAAAGGCGTAAACTATTATCAACTTACGGGGAGTTTTAAACGGCGGATAACTTCCAGCACTTTTGACCCCGTTTCATCTTCTTTTTCGGCTGTGAATAGATAAATGCTTCGAGGTTTTTTAAGTCTGTGAAATATTGAGTTATCACAACGAAAATTAGACATTGGTTGGAGCGCTTTGGTTTAACTAGCACAGAGACCAGAGGAAGAAATGGTTTAGGGCCAGAAGAGAGGGGAGATAAACTGTTCATTTTGGTATTTGGAGCAGAGCCAACAAAAGGCGCTAAGAATTGTGGATAACATGGTAAAACCCCATCACATTTTCCTAGTTCGGAATGCAGTAAATTTTGGGTGTCGGTTCTGGTAAAAAAATAAAACTGTGGTGGCCGATGCATTATTAGAGGAATCGAACGAATTTCACTCTTTGATCAGTGCATGTTCCTTGGTGAGCAAATATCACATGGTGTATTGTTGAAATTCAAATGGGTTGGTAACGTTCTGACAACCATCACGACAAGACTGCACCTTGACGTGGTGCGATGGCTTGCGTGCTTTTATGACCCTGCGAGATACACAGTATGACTTTTCAAAGCCGCAGATCCAATCATGCTTGAAAGGTCAACGGGTAAAGGCCAGACGAAGATCAGTCTCACAAGGCCAGCTGCTTGGGCATTTTCTAGCTTCCTTCTTCTATCCACACCCGCCCCTAGAGAGGTCACTCCAGCAAATAAACACGGTGAGGGGCAGTTTACCGGTCAAAAAACCCCGCTAGATGGACGTAGGAGCGCGGTACCTGGGGCT